ATGTGAATGGTGCAACATCAGTTAGTATCATATTGCTAGTTGATGTAGATGTGGGGAGTTTTTCTCCCAATAAATATATACCAACCCCTTGGACAAAGCACACCAAAACTACCGTAAGGGGAGCTCCTAGTTTGAGAAATCTCTCGTGTAGTAAATTAGATTTTTTTCCTCCTTTCGCTGTCGCCGCCGCGCTGCCCAGCCCAGCCATCCTCTCCTTCGTGCAACAAGTCGAGACCACCCCTACGCAGCTGCTGTTGACATGGCCGTGTGGTGGCTGTATCGGAGGCCAAAGGATGAAGACGAGTTAATTACGAAATTACCATCAGTTCGTAATATCGTCGTCGTATATTCGTTTTAAGTCCGTTTCGAGTCATTCCAATCGCGTTAGATTCATATTGATGTGATCTACATGCAAGTGTCGTCGTTTTTCATGTCAAGTGACTTTTATATATATGCTTACATATTAATTTGAGTAATATGCATCCAACTAGTTTTTATAAATAAAAGCAACATATTCATATACAATGCTCTTTTGCAAATAAGTTTTAACATGACTAGTTGCTAACATAAATATGTTTCTAAATTATAATATGTTTATTCTAAACACACATATCAAATTTGATTAGATGTTCTCACATGACAGTTTATATTTTCAAGTTAAAGTTGAATTGGCATAAATGATATCAAAATATTTATAAATAAAATATGATTAGCTTCAACTCAGTTTTTATGTATAAATATGATTTATTTAATCTAAATTAATGCTACTCACATAGTTTTTCCTAATTAACATGAATCAAGCTTATAGTATTCTCTTTTCTTTTATAATATAAACCCTGTAGTCGTTTCTTTACAATTGTAGTTCTGATTAGCGTGCTTTTCGTGTTTGTGTGTTCATAGCGACGTGTAGAAAATCTTTGAAACCTTTTTACTTGATGTTTCATATGTTTGGTGTATTGTTCTGATTTAGTTCTATTGTTTGCTTCATGTATGATTGCATGGATGCTTGTGTGGTGCTTTATGATCATGTTCAGTCGGTGAGCTTTGCGTCGGTGATATAAAAGAAGTGGGTGATCCAGAAGAAGTCTTTTGGAGGTTACAATTCAATAGAAGAAGGATCTAAGTTTAAGGCAAGTATAGCATGGGATTATCCTTGTTATATGTTCACCTTAATCATTTAATTCATACTGCATGTGTCTACCTTGACTACCACTAAAGATTTCCTAGTATTTTGTACCTTGTGCCTTGACACCTATGGGGTATTGCATTGGGTAGTATGATGCTAGTGTTCAACTAAAGCCATAGTCTTGTAACTTGACTAATGGAATATATAATAAACATTAAAAGATGATTTTTAGCAACATGGAACAAGGGGGCTAGAGCATTGGGCTGTTTTTATGGTGCTCTAGATTCCTCTCCCTAATGACTTATCTATAAGTGATCATCCAGGACTTATAATACAACTGTGAGGGTTATATGGCTCTGGCTTTAGCTCAGTATGAGGACATTTTCTAGCTTGTTAGTAGTTACCTTTATTGGCGTAAGAATGGCTTGACGAATCAGGTATAGTGCGGCCTCTGTCCCCTTATGTATAGGCTACGCGTCATTGTGCCATCGGGAAGGGGGGCTCTACATCTGTTTGCCGAGTGAATCTAATGGCCCTAACTTGTTAGACAAACCTTTGAAAGGCTTCATAGTGAATTCTGTTGAACTTCCTTGGAAGTGGGTCAAGAGATTAGCTACCTCGGGCGAAAGGGTAAATCACAACTCACAGTGAAAGTGTACAACCTCTGCAGAGTGTAAAACTGGTATATCAGTCGTGCTCACGATCATGAGCGGCCTTGGAACATTTATGGAATAGATGATCAATAATGGTTAATGATGAAGAACATGGATGATACCGATGATGAAGATGCACACTAATGATTATAGTTTATGTTGTTCATTATTCATGTTTACCTGATCATGTGTTTATATGGCTTGTGATAAACTTGTTGCTACTCAATTGCTAAAATCATGACTCATTAAAAGCTAATCGTAGTTAAAACAGTGTCAGCCTTTTGAGCCTCATGAACCCCATGTTATATTTGTTTAGTACGACATGTACTTACGCTTGCTTTATTTTTCAATTATTTGGATAAAAATCCCGAATGGGTACCAAATTGCTAGAGTTTGGAGGAATTAGGCTTATGATCAACCAGTCAGTTGTCCCTGTGAAAGTGGAGTCTTCACCTAAAGATCGGAGTTGTCTTTCCGCAGTCTATACTCTGAGGTTGTATTCTTTATACTAATACGCTACGTAATAAGCATTGTCTTATGATATTATCCTTATTTGTAGTTATATGTGAGATTTGACTTTCTAGGCTCACATATGGTGTGTATCTGGTTTTGTTCTTAAAATCGGGTGCTACACGAAGATGGCGGAAAGGTGGGCCATCCGATCACCAAAGGCGTGAACGTACGGCGTCTTTCCCACGGACGGCGCCAACTGTCGGTGCGAAAAGTGACAAACACGTAAATATTTGTAGTTTTGCCATACGTTGTGATCGGATATGGCCTAGCACTCAATGACACAGGGTTTATACTGGTTCAGGCAACGTGCCCTACATCTAGTTTGAGTCAGTCGGTGACTTTATTCCTAAGCCCAGGTGCTCGAAGTTTGCTGTGGGGTTACAAACGAGAGGGAGTAAGATGGGGGGGGGGGTATCAGAGGTCCGGTCGAACTCCGGACCGAAGGGCCAAGAGTGATGGGAGCTCCGACGTGCGCTAAGTGTTTGAGCGTATGCTCTGCCTGGCTTTAGAGTTCTAGAGCCAAGCAGAGAGAATCAGAATCAACTGTCTGAATCGTCCGTCTGAATCCCTTTTTCTTTTGGAGAGAGTGCATCCCCTTTTATAGATGAAGGGGATGGCTTTACAAGAGAGAGAGTGTGTGTGCTACCTAGTCTTGTTGCCCACGCCGTCGGGTACAAGATGGTTTGTCGACGCCCACAATATTGTTGACGCCCAGATATATGTGGTAGGCTCCATCGTGTTCTTCTGGTATGGCCAATGTCAGCGCATACCATACTGTAGGGCAAATATCGGCGCCCATAACACTGTTCGTGTTCTGACACGTCTGGAAGGTTGCGGAGCACCCTTCTGACATGATCTGACAGTACTGTCCTGCAGGTGTGTAGGGTACGGTCCTCGGTATTGCGGTTTGACTTCAACGCCCTGCCTTACTTGCTCCGCCTGATTCTTTGGGTCCTTACCGAGCGGGCGTCCCCGTTCGGTTGTTTTCCAGTCGGCTCCGACCGCGATGGTCGGAGAAGAGCTATAAGCAGAGGTTTGGTGTACTCCCGGTCGGAGAAGCGAGTCAGAGTCAGAAGCGAGCGTCGTCCCTACTTGGCCAGGCCTTCCGGTTGGAGAAGTGGGCCAGAGTCGGAGGCGAGCGTCGTCCCTCCTTGGTTAGGCCTTCCGGTCGTAGAAGCGAGTCGGAGTCGGAAGCGAGCGTCGTCCCTCCTTGGCCAGGCCTTCCGGTCAGAGAGGCGGGTCGGAGTCAGAGGCGAGCATCGTCTTCTCCTTGGCCAGGCCTTTCGGTCGGAGAGGCGGGTCAGAGTCGAAAGCGAGCGTCGTTCCTCCTTGGCCAGGCCTTCCGGTCGGAGACTGGATCGCCCTTCCGGCCTGTCGTTAGGTATCTGGGCCTGCCCAGAAGTTGCATGTTGTTCACAACGTCGTCTGCTAGGCTGAGCTTTTGCTGAGAAGCAGGTCCATTAAGGATCCCGGGTTTATGAACCCGACAAATAGCTTTCCAAATTTACGTCGCATGCAACATGCAAGTGACGCTACCTATAATTATTACTCTGAGCCGGACCAGGGAGGCAGAAGCGTGCTAGCGCACCAACAACGCACAGGTCTGGTTCGGTCAGTGGCTTGGCTACACAATAAGCTATCTTGTAGCCGGCTACAGAGTATACTCTCCTTTTATAATAATATAATATGATAGTTTTTTAAAATAAATAAATAAAACATAATAGGATTATATTATTTTAATCTAAAATTTTCATATTTTTTGGAGCTCATATCTGAGATATACAAAAACATGCCAAATCATTGAGCTATTCAGTAATTGTTATTGTCTTTGCAAAATCTCTGAGCTATTCAGTTTTTCATGAATGGAATAAATGATAAAATGAGCAGGTAACACTACTGTGTTGAGTGCTTACTAGCTAATTTCCTTGCTATACGCTGCTGATGGGTTTAGACTACCATACTGAAGTGTTTGATTCAAAAAGATGGGGTGAAGTGTGGTAGGAGGATGCGAGAAGTAGGAGGGGAATGGGAAGCACCCAGTACATGAGGGAGATGGACTTGTGTCCTGTTCGCTTGGCTGATAAGTTATGGCTGAAAGTACTGTTGGCTGATTTGTTGTGATTCAAAAATAATGTTCGTTGGCTGAAAAAGTATGATTTATAAGCCAAACGAACAGGGCGTTGGATGATGGTAACGCAAGCTGTGCAAGTGGTTTGGTGTGGGAGCTCAAGGAAATGTTAGCTCATAACTTTATGTGTTTATAACTACTCTCTTTAAGCTCCCCTAAAAAAAACCCTCTCTTTAAGCGCCCAAGAATCCCTGGTCTCTAGGGGCATCGGCCACTGTGTGGCACTGTTCATTTCTCTTTTTTATTTTTTATTTTTTCTTTTTTCGCTGCAAATTTTTTCTTTTTTCTTCTTTTGAAGGAAATTCTTCCCCTCCAAAAAAAATAAATGCACACAACAGGCGCACGCAGCAAAGCGCGTGTACTGTGCTGGTGTACTTCATGCCTCAAGAGTTTGTAATCATGTAGGGCATGTCCTTGTTTAACAGTACGAGTGATCTCAGATTTGGGTGAACGACGGAGAGGACTGCCTGAATATCCCTTCTCTTACGAGTCTTGAGCACTTATGTGCTATTACAGTCACTGGCCATTGGGTCCCACAAGACAGCTACAAGAATTAGAAAACACAGCTATAGCTTTTACACTACTTGGCTTGGAAAACGTCTTTCTCTTGTACGTCCTCTTCTTGACTTGTTGGCTGTGTCGTCTGTGACATATCTTTATTGATCCCTACAAGTTCTTCGCTGAACGACCATAGCCTCTTTGCCAGCTCTGAATCTCTTGCGACAGCAGTCGGTGTTGCTTCATTGCAATCCGAGAAGTATTTACCAGATACATCTTTGACATTAGGGTGCAATGCCAGGTAGCAAGTAGTCGCAGCTCCCTACAAACCATGTCCGTCAGATGATATTCGTACGATTATGACACTGATTATGTTTTAGAGAGCTACTAGCTGGGTGCTAGGATTCAATAACCTGGGGTATGCTCTTCAGAACAAGATTTGCTACAGGGGAGAGAACCGAAATCAGCGCATCTGTCAAACATACATTTGTATTAGTTAACTGAATAGAGGATCCAGCAATATTATTTTGTTTTTGAATCTTCTTGTTGGGCCTAAGCTTGCAATGTTTTTGAAAGATCTGAGCTTGCGATGTCATTACTGTTATTTCCTGCAACATAGCGAATGATATTGGTGATGATTACTCCAGGATGCAGGGAATTCGCTGTCAGATTGCATCCTTCTTCCTGAAATGCATGGCAGCAAACATGTGTTATATTGTGAGGATGTGAAATATGCAGTTAGCGGCAAGGCAGCAGATTGCATACCTGAAAACGCCTGGACAACTCATTTGCGTGGAGAATATTGGCTAATTTCGAATGTGCATATGCAATGAACGGCTGGTACCTGTAAATTTGCAGATGGAAAGAAAAAAATCGGCTACTTATAACACGCTCATGCATGTAACCAAAATCAATAAGCATAAATAAAGGATAACATTTTGCTAACCTAGCCTTATCGTTTAGCTTGTTCAGCTCAAAGCATGTACCATCACTTCTTTTATGTGCGATGGATGACACGTTTATGATCCTGCCTTGCACACCTGTCTCTCTGGCAGTTGATTTCATCTTGTCCAGCAGGAGATTTGTCAGCAAGAAATGGCCTGCTCATAAGGTCAAATTCAATAGATGCTTGTGCCTAATTAATCATGCATTATTTGCTTCTAAAAAAATCAGGGGATTTTTCTGAACAATGTACTGACAGCAATTCAGTTCAGGACATATCAGCAGGCTGCAGAGCAAATCCCCTGATGCTATATGTGACAGGGATTTATTGGCATGAATGACCGGCATTCCTACTCACCAACATGATTGGTTGCGAACTGCAGCTCGATTCCATCCTTGGAGAGCTGGTAAGGGCAGGCCATAATCCCTGCATTGTTTCTTCAGAGGAACATGTTTCAGATTACCATGTGAGTGAGTCCAGCACTACACCTGCTGTGCTGAATTCTGAATATCTGCTGTGTTTCAGAGACTGCAACAGATACGTACATGAGGAGGTTCAGATGCTCGTGAGATGAATCGAAGGACCGCGCGAAGTCGCGGACGGAGCTTAGAGAGCTCAGGTCCATCTCCATGACGTGCAGCTTGGAGCTCGGGACCTGATCTGCGAGGCTCTCTTTCACCTTGAGGCCACTCTCCAGTGTCCTAGTTGGTATGATCACCTTCGCTCCCCTCAGTGCTAGCACTCTGGCTGTCTCCTTTCCGATGCCATTTGTTGCCCCTGCATTTCGCCAAATGAAGCCAGGGGAGAACAAAGTGTAACAGACAGATCATGCCCATGCATAGTAATTACTCTAGAAGATTGTGGGATACAGAGTATGCGAGGTTGCTATGTAAAGAAAGATGAAAACATCACTGATCCAAAGAACAAAATAGACATACTAGAATTTGTCCTGGTGAATGGCGATCAATCAATACTAGCGAAAGTTAATTCCAATACAATCATGTTCAACAAGTCATAAAACTGAAAGATTATTCATGGAATAAAAGCTGAACTATTATGGAAGAGATACAGCTAGTACTAAGATTAAGTTGAAATTAACTATACATGTGAGGCTGTTGGTCTGTTCTCACGACGATATTATCTGCGTTTTTTACAACAACAAAAAAAAATGGCACCAACAATTCTGTCCCTACTTATGATATCTAGAATAAGGCCTGAATGAAAACTGAAAGCTAACTGTAGTACTTGCTCTGCTAGTCTGCTAATGTATAGTCTTTCGTCGCTCTTCCCGCCAACAGTAGCAGTTTTTATGAAGTAAAAACAATATAATGTTGCAATTGAGACCACTGGCAGGCTTAAAGACGACGGGGGAAACCAAAGCTAGGCTGGAGAAACCATCATCACTGCTGCTGTGTGCTGCGCCTTGAAAAGAAGAAGAAAAGAAGAAAGCGATGGAGGGACGACCTGTGACGATGGCAGTGAGGTTGCTGGCGTCGACGCCGGCGGTGACCTCCTCGGCGGTGGACGCGGAGCCGAAGCCCGACGGTCCTCGGCGCCCCCACAGCCAACCCCAGAGCCCCATCCCCGACGACACTACCTCCCTCGCATGCCAGCAGAAATCTGCCACCGCCTGCTCAGACATCGAACATGCCCATCGCCTCAGCGCGAGAGGTGAGGGACCTGCAGCTCCTCCCTCTTGCTAGCTGGCCACTCGTAGGGATAGATAGGAAGAGGAGAGGAAGCGCTGCAGCTAGTGGCCAGTATTGACTGACTGGTGAGCCTCCGGAGGTCGCCGACGACGTCGACGCATGTTCTGGTTCTGGCGCCTGCGTGAGCCTGCGGCTGCAAAGCCTGGCCATACCACACACGCCGCGCCAAGCGAATGGGACCATTAAGGCTGACACTGACTTGTTACCCTCTCCCGATCTTCTTTCATTGAGAAGTTACGGGGCTTTTACTGCCCAGACGTGGCAACGGAATCATCAGACGCGTACGCAAACTGAACAAGCGACTAGTAAACAGCTTGGTTTCTGTACGTAATAACTCGCCACTGTTCGCTATACCAATGGATAGACAAGGACAAGCGACGGACTAGTAAAACAGTCTCCGGCATCTTCTGCACAAGCGTTAGGTTCCAATCCAGTAACATCTCCGGCACACTCAGCGGCGTCATCAGCAGGAAGGGAGAGGCCGAGATGCCAAGAGAGCCATCGGATCATCTGTTCGCCATGCCAATGGATGGAGACAACAGTCTCTCACAGTCAGTCATCTCCTGTTTCGCTGTATGCCTATATGGGTAGTAGAGTACACATAGTTATGGTAAGAAACTTACTTAATAAGGAAAAAAAAGCCTGATATTTTTTCTCTCTCTTAATACAAAGGTACGCGTACGCAGCTCTACTGCATATTCGGGGAAAAAACTTACTTAAGAAAATGGTTAAGGTAATCTTTTATTTTAGCTATATAATCCATTTCTTATGTGTCCTCGAGTGTCACTGAGTGAGAAAAGTATCATAAAGTTGTTTTAGATTTTCCAAAGGGTAGCAGATATGCTTGCATTAACTACAAACGGATTTGATAAAGGAGAATATGATATAGTAACGGCAATATTTGTGTAAGAAACATGGACCCTACAAAAAGTTTACTGATTCTGGTGCTTCAGTGACAACATAACTATTAAGACTAACATAATTTGCTAGTATATAAAAGGGTAAAGTACACTTTACAACCCTCAACTCGCGCTAAAGTTCGATTTTCAACCTTCAACTATGAAACCGGCCAAGAAACACCCTCCAACTATCAAAACCGGACAAATTTGGTCATTGACCGGTTTCAAAAGCGGTTTTCTATTTTCGAGAGGCGCCAAAATTTTAAATTATTTTTTTGAGTATTTTAACATCCTCAAATGAAAAAACTCAAAACTACAAAGTTGTTTTATCTCATTGATGAGTCTACAATTTACAAATAAAACCCTCTTCATCCGACATGAAGATATTTTATATGGTTTTAGACTATTTTTATACAACTTTGAGTTTCATCACGCGACAAAATAAGATGCTCGAAATTTTATATTATTTTTCAGCACCAATTTTATCTCGTGATAAGACTCAAATTTCAAAAAACTCAAAACTATAAAGTTGTATATCTCATGAAGATACAATTTATATATAAAAATATCTTCATCCGACATGAGATCTACAACTTTTCTATTTTTGAGTTTTGAGTCTCATCACGTGAGGACATCAAGATGCTTAAAAAATAATTTAAAATTTCGGCGTCTCCTGAAAATAGAAAACCGCTTTTGAAACCGGCCGAGGACCAAATTTGTCCGGTTTTGATAGTTGGAGGGTGTTTCTTGACCGGTTTCATAGTTGAAGGTTGAAAATCGAACTTCGGCGCGAGTTGAGGGTTGTAAAGTGTACTTTACCCTATATAAAATATTTGTTCTTATGGATGCAAGAGGCGGACTTGAGCAATTGAGCTAAACTAAGCTGGAGATCAAACAATCTACACCTCTTTTTTTTAAACTTAAACAATCTGCACATCAAAGAAAAGTACCAAAGACCCTAGAAAATAAGAAAGAAACTCGAGACATCCTACAAGTGAAGCCCGAACAAATACACACAAAGAAACACACTCAGATGAGCACCGGAGATGGTGCTCCATGCTTGTACACAAAAAGTGCTGAAATACACTCATTTTGTGTAATTTGACAACATGCTAGGGAAAACACAAAATATTGTGTTATAGAGTAAGCTAGCACTAAGTGGCATAAACCTTACAAAATAGAAGCATATATAATATACTATCTAAAAATGATGTAAAAGATCGCAACAAATAGTGACAACAAATACACACTTAGATCTTGATTGTCCCTTTCAATAAATCGATATAACCTTTCATATTTTTAAAGAATCAGTCACCTATTTATTCTAAACAAGACACACCATTTTCTTCTTTTGTGTTGAGTTCGCCATCATATTTGATATACTCATATATTATTCCAGTAGTGGTCAAATGAAATTGAGAGAAATAAATTGGTGATTCTGACAATTACAAGGTAAAGAAAACACAGATTTTAACTGTACTTTAATTAGTAGAAAATATCAGAAAGCTTTCCAAAAATATAATTTGTGCAACTTTCTTTTGAGGAAAATTATATTTACATTATTTTTAGATATATCACATAAAAAGTAATTTGCAATAAGGTGTTAGATTGTTGATTTCCCTTTTGAGAACATGCCATGGCATGCATTTTATTTGAAGGGGTTGAAATTGTTGATTCAAGACATCACTTATTTATGACCAAAAAAATTTACACCAATACTCCTTTTATGATGCTTTTTTTTTCTGAAAGCATGCATTAGCGCATGCTTCATTAAGTAGGGGTGGGATTGATACAACTTCCACAATCACAATCACGGCGAGTTGCCGTTCATGACCGGTAACACACAAACACAAGGCACCAATTAGCGGTGGAAATACAATGTTGTACTAGCTATTGAACGAGTTGTGCGACTTGTGAGTGATCGAGTTTCCAGCGCTACTGAAGGACCTGCGAGGTGAGCGACACCAGGCTGCAGAACCCGGCCCCGATCCAGGAATCAGTCTCCTCCAAGATGATGGAAAGCAGATGGGAAGGCGACCTTGACTTATGATCGAAGATCATCCGGTTACGTTCTTTCCACAGGCACCAGGAGGTTAGCAGGACTAGTGAGTCGAAGCTTGTCCTGAGAACCTGTGGCAGTGTCGCCCTTCCCTGCTGCCACCATTCGAGCAGAGTTGAATTACCTTGCGGCACCACACCTTGCAAGCCTGCCGGCTGAAGTAAGCGGAACCAGACCTCACGAGCAAATACACAAGAAGCCAGGAGGTGGTCCGTGGTTTCGTGGTGCTGATTTTTATGATGCTTAATTTCTACTGAAAACTCCACCTTTAACTTTGATATAAACAATTTCTTTGTGATGATACATACAAATATAAATTTGTACTGAAAAACTCCACCTTTAACTTTGAAATAAACAATTTCTTTGTGATACCTTTAACTTTGAAATAAACAATTTCTTTGTGATACATACAAATATAAACAATAACAACATCTTTGTACTAAGACATTTATACAAATACAAAACAAACAAAAATAATAAAAAAGCTTTAAAAAGAGCACATCATGTAGCGTACTCTATTTTTGCCGTGCGCTGAGTGGACGAGCCGCGCTCGTCACCGTGCGCGTGAGCCCCGGCTGAGGGCAACGTCACCGGACCGTTCGACGGCGACGCGCTCACCCGCTGGGGAGCGCGCGCTCCAGCGAGGGGACCCGCGGTGGCTCCGGAAAGATCTAGGGTTTAGGGAGAATCCCACCGCAGTTCGTGTGGGGAATTAGGGCACCGTCACCCAGACCGCTCGACAGCGGCGCACTCAGCCTAGGGCGAGTGCGCGCGCCGGCGAGGGGACCGGCGGCGGCACCGTTCCGCTGCTCACTCCTCTTTCCTTTCCGTGCGCGGCGCTGAGAGAGAGAAGGGGTGGGAGTGAATGAATTAGGGTTAGGGCGCACGCGCCGCGCCGGGAAGTTTTTGTACCCGTGAGAACGACGGACGTCCATCGGATCAAGATAGATGGCTCTGATTGAACGGGCCACTTCTGGCCCAGGCATGGAAGGAGAATCTCGGCCCAAGCTTAGGTAGCGGCCTGGGCGCGGGGAGCGAGCGCGCGCGCTGGGGCGAAGCAGGCGGATGGGCTGGCTTCGCGGCGGTGGGCCATGCGCGCGGATGTGGCCGTGGACTGTTTCACCAGGCCGGGCTGAATGAACAGTAAACACAGAGATTTTGTTTTATTCATTTTCAGAAGCAAATTTTGATGATTTTTTATCTAGTTTAAATATCTGTCAAAATTTAAACCAACGGGGTAATTTTCTCAGAGAGTAGATGAGTATAGTAAAATGCTTCTGAAAACTAGATAAAGAATTTTTTCATATTTCCGCTGCAAAGGTTTAAGTTTATTATCTTCTAATTAAATTTGAACCAACGAAAGAATTTAATTTGAAGAGCAGTTAAATTTTATTCAGTAAATTATAATATTATTATTTTTCTGACCAACGTTGATAATAGCAATATTATAATGTTTATTCATAAGGTTTTCCATGCATTAATTCTATTTCTGTCCAACGGTGATGTAGAATTAGTGTATAAGAAAGTTGTATGTTTTAATTTTGACCAACGTTAAACTAAGGCATGCAATTATTATGTCAATTTTCTTACTTTCTCTGACGGTGTTTTTCAGGACTCAACCCAATGGCTTTTATCTCGCACATACCGCCTCTTGAAGGGGGCAACTATAAGGTATGGTGAGAGAAGTATGAACTAGCACTTGCGCTGTTTGAAAATGACCTAGCGCTTACCTCTTCATGTTCTACTGAGCCAGTGGATTCGGTGAGGAAAAAAAATGAGTTTGGTGCTGATTTTACTGCTCGACGGCGAGATCATGCAGAAGTATGGATGAAATATGATCTCGAATGCAAGAAATGGGGCATTTCAAACCTCAAGGTGGCTAAGTCCACTATTTCAGATGCGATAAGAGGGTCTATCCCAGATTGTGATACCGCCATAGAGTATCTTAATAAAGTGGAGAGGCAGTTTACTGGCT